AAAAAAAAAAAAAAAAAAAAAAAAAAGGGACGCGCCCCGTTCGCACTGTTTTGTGGATAACCACTATATCCATCGGTTGCTAACGTACCACCAGATATGTGATGTATATGTATATGCATATGTATAGATACGCATATAGAGGTTCGATCCATTCATGATCCGAATGTACAAGTACATTTGTATATGTCTAGATACGCATATAGAGGTTCGATGCATTCATGATCCGAATCTCGATCTACATTTGCACATATAGATATCAAGTGTGTACATCAGTGCAAACGGATAAGTCACAAAGATGTCAGAGCGCAAAAGCGAACAAAAACAAGAAAAAATCAATTCATTTTACATATGTACATGTGAAATATGTACACGTGGAAATGTATATAGTTTATATATAGCCACAGAGAACAGGCCAGTGCACCGGAGGCTTACTGTTTTCGGCCAGAACTATAGAAATCTACCGGGGGGTTGGGGGGGGGGGGGCAGAACTATACACGTGGAATTCCGTTACATTTCTATAGACCGGAATTCCGAACAGACTTTACTCCTGATTGAACATGCCTGACAGGTCCGGCGATCGGGCGACCGATCTGTACCAGGACGGTATTAACGCCCAGGTACATTCTGATAGGGGTGTGTCTTTCGCAGAATCCGCTAAGAGCGCGGGGACCATGAACTCAGAAATTATGGTAAAGTGAACGATTCTGCGTACCAGGACGGTATTAACGTCCAGGTACATTCTGATAGGAGTGTCAGTGTCTTTCGCAGAATCCGCTAAGAGCGCGGTGACCATGAACTCAGAAATTACGGTGAAGTGAACGATCCTGAGAAAAGGATCCTGGAAAAAATAAGTAATATTCTTAACAATAATAACAAATAATAATAAATAAAATAGTAAATAAACAAATATAACAACAGTAAAACGTTGAAAAAAAGTACTAAAATATATAAATAAATATTATAACAACAAAAAATATAAACTGAAATGCAGCTCCCCTGGCTGAAGGCCGCGTTCGCTGATTCTGGCCTGATCCTCATTCCTTTTTCCCTTCTCTTTCTCTCTTTTCTTTTTTTTTTTTTTTTTTTGCCGTAAGGCAGATCTGTGGAGAAGGCCCTTCTTCCTCTAAGCCTACCCGTCTTCACCCGAATAAAACGGTCGGTCATTATGGCTGTATCTGGCACAACTTTCAGTCCAGATGCAACGATAATGAGCCTACCCGTCTTCACCCGAATAAAACGGTCGGTCATTATGGCTGTATCTGGCACAACTTTCAGTCCAGATGCAACAATAATGACCAGGCGTTCTATTCTGGTGAAGACGGCAGTGCATGCTGATGTGTGTGGAAATTTTATCGAAGCGTGCAAGACAGACAGTCTTTGGCCTCTGTTTATAACTGTTCTTCCTTTTTTTTTTTCAGATTTTTTTCCTTCGTTTTTTTTCTTCTTTTTTTCTCCTTCGTTATTTTCTTCTTTTTTTTCCTTTTTTTTCCTTTTTTTTCCTTTTTTTTCCTTTCCTTTTTCTTTAATTTTAAGAAACAACATCAGAGATCCTTCATTTCCGTCGATGTGCATTACGAAGATCAATGGCCAGAACGCAGAATTTGTGTACAGGAAACTGGACACTTATGTATCACACATACACTGCCTATATTCCTCCTCTTTTTTTTTTTTTTTTTGCACTACCTATATTCCCACCCTGGCTACCCACTAACTTTATAAACATAGATAGCTTCTTATAAACGATAAGATCTATTAAATATACATTGCCAGAATCATATTATAAAATTGATTTCTATTCGTTTTCTATTCGTAATTTATTATTATCATCTAATAAAAGCTGATTGGACATCACTAAATTTTTACTGATAAATGGCGTGCACCTGATGCCATATTCATATTTTATTTATTTATTTTTCATATTTTAAGAACAAAAAAAGAAAAAGAAAAAATCCTGAATCAAGGCTAAGAATCGAGATCCGTAAGTCAAATCAAACACAAACAATTCCATTTAATTTAATTTATTAAATTGACAATAATGAATGATTTAACACGTCACTAACCACTAGGTCCATCGTCCCGCGATCCGTTTCACAAACAAAATAAAAAAATATTCCACCGAATTTTTAAAAATTGCTCTATAATTGACGTGAACACCACTCACGATAAGAAATCTTTGCTTTCACTAGCCTCCTTTTCTTTTTTTTTTTTTTTAACAGTCCTTGCGCAGGGACCATGCCGATTTTCTAAATAATATCTTTCTTCCAAATTTTAATGGACGAACACCCCCCCAGCCTCCCCCTTCCCCCTCCCCCACCAATCCTTATTTCCAGTTTAAATAAATGAAATATTACAACCACATGCGGTCCGACGATATGCGGATATCTCAGTGTGGAGATAACATCTTTCTTTCTAGATTTTTTTACCGCGGGTGCAGTATCCTTTCCCTTTTTTTTTTTTTTTTTTTTTTTTTTTTTTTTTGGAATTTGGACCATATCTCGGCTTATGCGTGTCATCCATGCACAGGCGCCATTTGCTAATTTACCCTTCTGTGTATCGTTCCAATGGTTACGGATGTCCCGAAGGACCCTTTTCGATAACGGACGACCTTTTTTCATTTGTCTTCTCCTAAATATCTGGCCCATCTCGCTCCCCCCCCCCCCTCCTTTAACTGATAAATTAATCATACACATAATTCGTATTACAATTTCCATGATTATTAAATGCGCACGGATGACACGCACAAATCGAAACACGATCAGTTTACTGTTTCTACATATATCGTAATATTAATTAAAAACAGACTAAATTTGCAGCGGTACTTTATTCTAAAAAAAAAAAATAACAATAGAAAAACTGAAAAAGAACATTATTATGAAATACTGCTAAAGCCAACTGTTCCAACAAACATACATTGTAAGAACTTCGGGAAGAGGATTTAAAAAAAAACAAAAAAAACAAAAACAGAAAAAGAAAAAACAGGGAAAAGAAACCATTAACAGGAAAGGAGAGGAAAAACAACCCAGTTCCACCCACCCATTCCAAACCCGGGGGCGAGGTCCCACTTGCAAAGAGGATTGGATTAAGCTCCTGAATCTGGATGGCTTTTTGGCACAGATGCAGAGAAAAAGCGGATCAATCGCCATGTCCTGCACCTCTCCACAAACACGTCCATATTCAGCCGTTTAAATCGAATCCTCGTTGCTACCAGGACCTCGCCCCGGGTCTAACAAATTGTGACTTCAGCCAGCCGACCACTGGCGGCCCCACCTCTCCTTCCATCCACTACCCTTTCTTTTATTTTGTTTTATTTTATTTATTTTTTGGGGGGGCGGGGGGGCGCGGGAGGGGGGGTGTTTCCATTTCTTACCCTGCAATCAGCCTGTATCCATCCTCGTAGCGTTGGCGTTGGCGCCCCGTGCGCGCGACTAGCAGCGCTGGCTCCGCCGCCACCTCAGGCTTTCCGCCCACCATGTCCCCAACCATCTCTGCCATGTCCCCCGCCGCCATCTCCGCAATGTCCCCCTCCATCCCCGCCATGTCCGCCGCCACCCGTGCCGCCCCTGCCACTGATAGCCTCTTCAGGATTGCTTTACCCGCCGCCTTCGGTCTCCCTGCGGCTCCCAATCCCAATCCCAATCCAGCACCCTTGCCGACTGCCACCAGATGAACGTCGTTATCCTTAACGTTATCCTTAACGTTATCCTTAACGGAATCCTTAAGGGTGTCCGTTACTTTGTCCACCGAAAAATTAGAGGCTGCAATCCACCTGTCACGCAGCGCTCGCGTAACGCGCAAGATCCCTCCGCGTCCCCGTCCCGATCTCATACCTGCCGTCCGCGTGCCACCTCAGCCGCGCCCAATCAACCATCACCTCCCCTCTCTCACACCTCATCTCCTCCTCCTCCTAGTTGCATAAGGATGTGCCACGTCAGCAGCGCCGTCCTGACGCTAATCGGATGTGCCACATCGGATGCGCATTCGCAGACGTCAACAACTCTGCGCACAGCCAATTACTTCTTCTCCGTCCATTCAACCCCCCTTACTGATTACGACGCCAGTGATTGCCTCTCTCTCTCTCTCTCTCTCTGTGTGTGTTTGTATGAGTGTGGGTGGTCCGTGTGTGGCGCTCCAGAGGCAATGCCCATGCTCCAAACAGTCGTTTCGCGCGGAGGGTCAGCGCGCCCTTTGGTCTTCCGATCACCGACCGCACGGGCAGAGCGGTGGCAACTGGTCGGCGACCGGTTGCCCAGTGGCCTGGACACCCGTGGTCCGTCGACGGCGCGACCAGTCCGCGCCTGGTACGTCTGCCAGTGAGCGCAAGGAAGGGCTGAAGTTGCCGCCGGCATGCAGCGCAAGACCAGCCCAGCGTCGTCGAGGATTCATCACCGCGCACGTGCGCGTCCATCCTCTCCCTCCCCCCCTTCTCCTCTCCCTCTCGCACCCCTGATTTGCCATTTCCCGCCCCTGAGACTCGCGGGTGAGGGGGAGCAGATGTGGCCCGCTACCTCCGCGCGGGGCCCGCATCCTGCTGCTTCCTCAGACGAGCGTCTCTTACCGCCCCCTGCTGCCAAGCAACGGCTGTATGAAGCTTGGCGCGCCGTGCGACCAGCCATTCCATCGCACCTCACCCCCTCCGCACTCCCCCCCCCTCTCCTCCCCTCACCTGTCATCTCAGCATCCCCTCCCCCCCTAGACCCCCTTCCGTTTGCAAGCTATTGGCTCGAGCTCCCCCTATATGACATGCCATGACAGGGTGGTACTGCCTTGCAGCCTTCGCCGGAGGCCCAATTTGAGTTGGTGCGCTATGGTCGCCCGGGCTACATTGGTGCGCACGTATGTGGTCTGGAATACGTCCACATTCCCTCTGAAATAGCGTGAAATGGTATCTCAACCTCCGTTACCGCGAACCTGGACGACAAAGGCGACCTCGTTCGTGCACGTTCCAGCGTGCGATTTCGCGCAGCAACGTCTGGTCCGCCCGCCTCTTCCACTCCTTGGCGCGCACGGGCACATGAAGGCCGCTTCCTGCGGCGCGGGAAACACGGTAAGCGCAGCGCAGCGCGGCGGCTCGTGCACAGAGGGACGGAGCGGACGAGTGGCGGCGCGCGATGGCTCGTGGCGCGGGTAGAAGGAGCCGAAAGCGCCACCCGTCCATGAACAGTCGCCTTTTTTCTCTGCTTTTGTTTTCTTTTTTTTTTCTCTGCTTTTGTTTTTTTCTTTTTGACGTCCGCGACTGCGCTACGGCGCTACGGTACGTCTCATACTTTCTTTTTTTTTTTTTTTCCTCGTACTTTTTTTTTTTTTTTTTTCGGCCTTTATTATTTATTTTTATTAGAATTATATTTATTAGACGGGAGACGGCCTTAAGATATGGTCATCGAACTGACCCGGGGCCTAGTCCCGCAAGCAGCGTTGAACTACCTCAACGCCTGAATGTGTGGACGCTTTTGCGGAGATGTGCAGAAATGGTGTCGAGTTTCCTGAACTGCACCTCTCCACGGACACGTCCAGATTCAGGCGTTGAGGACACTGAACGCTGCTGGTGGGACTTGGCCCCCGTCGTAATCAAAGGTGGATGAGAAGAAGAAGATTACCAATTGAGGCGGACCGCAGGAGAGAGTTGCGGCGTGGCCCGAAGCTGCTTGGGTGAGGCAAGGTGAAGAAGCTGCGGGCTGGGTCCCGCCGCGGGAACCGCCAGGGTTGAGTCGCCATGCTCGGCTGGTCTCATCCGCCCCTACCGCGCCTGGCCGTTGGGTTCGGCGTGGTTCTGCTGGCGTGCTGAGTTGAGAGTGTGTTGGTGTGTGGGTGGGGGTGTCTGCGGGATGATGCTTTTATACCGGGTATGGAGCTTGATCAACATGCCGATGCACGATTGATCTTAGGTATGAAGACTTTGGTTATGATGCTGTTGAAGATGCCGTTTTAGGCGCTGATTTGTTGTGGGAGTTGGAGGACCATGATGAGGATTAAGCCAACCAAGTTCTGTTGGTGGTCTTCTGGTTGGAGATGCTTCTGCTACAATTGATGATCGAAGATCCTCGAGAGGAACACAGTATGTAGTGAAGATGGAAGTCTTATCTAATATTTGGCATGCATCGTTTGAGGCCTTTTAGGGTTAAACTGTCATTTTAGGGTTATTTCCGAAATTGCCTGTTCCGTAGATTTGGCATTTGTGAGAGGAGTACTTTGATTTTTTTGGTGGTCCCTTATGTGATCGGTAGGATTTTTCGTTTTTCGTGTTTTGGTTTAGATGGTTTGTAGGAGGAAAAAAAAAAAAAAAAAAAAAAAAAAAAATTTTTTTTTTTTTTTTTTTTTTGAGAAGTTGTCGCTTTATATTTCAAAACAAAGTGGTCGAGGCCGGGGACCGCACAATTCTACCCGGTATTACCAAGGAAAAACCTGCTGGAAACCGGGTCCAGCGTCCTAAGACCACTCAGTCCTCAAAAGGAAGAAAAACCCCTCAAAATAACCTTGAAGCACAGAAAAGGGTGGTTAAACGAATCATAACAAAACTCTCCATTCCTTCAGCCTATCATATAATATCCTTGCAGCGCAGGAGAACGCCGGCGTGTTTCTAAGAATGAAGCACTATTGGCAAAGAACTACGATTTTTTTTTACTTTTTTTTTTGTTTTGTTTTGTTTTTTTTAAGACTGATATTACCAATACGAAGATTGAGGCCGGGGTCCTTACAGTCTACCCGGAGTAACCAAAACAAAATTGCTGAGAACCAGGCTCAGCGTCCCATATGATGAAAAATCTACCCGGAGTAACCAAACCAAAATTGACGAGAACCGGGCTCAGCGTCCCTTATGATGAAAAAGGATAATGATGATGATGATGATGATGATGTTGAAGAACTTTTGCTGAACAGGAACTTAGTTAAGTGCCTCTTCACCCTTACAGGGCGCCAGATCCTCGTGACTAGTAAGCACATCACTAGTTTTCAAACAGAAATCTCATTGTCTAACCAAACCAAGACACTGGCACAAGACAATTATTTGGGGGGGGAAAGAAATCAGGAAATTCAGAGAAGGGTCTGTCTCTTATACACATCTAGATGTGTATAAGAGCCCACACACACACACACACACACACACACACACACACACACACACACACACACACACACACACACACACACACACACACACACACACACACACACACACACACACACACACACACACACACACACACACCTTATATACACATCTAGATGTATTTTCCATTTCATAGGTACATCTCCTTGTCCATATTGCCCAAATGATTGATCGCCTACTTACTTGGAATATATTATAGGTAAATCATCCACTTGGACCGGATGCCATGAGTCCAACAGTAGGGCTTTCCATTCCCAAGGCCAAGGAAGAGAGGTTTCTAACTGACTCCAAATCCTATCCCACCATCTCCACAACCAGATTGACCCCGGGCATTGGAGGAAAATGTGCTCGATAGTTTCTGGGATAAGCTTAGAAGGGAAGGCCGATTTACAAAAGTTATACCATGGAAGGGCAATACCTTTATGTTCAAGGGAAGTCCTATTAATAATCCAGTCATTGGTAGAAAGGCACCTATGAGATATCTGCCACTGGAGTGAAGCTATTTTGGCAGGTTTAGATTTGGAGGCAGAAAACCAATTGACCCTTCTCAACTCATCTTTACCAATGTTAAGATGATTTTACCATCTTTCTTCAATACTGTCTTTAAGATTAACTCTCAGTCGGAGCATTCTATAAGAAGCTTTGACTGTGAGAGTATGTAATTTCCTAGGATGCTCAGGTGCACGGTTCCCAGGAGAAGACCAACTCCAATAAATAGGAACTACGAATTATAATCTGCAAATCTCGAAAATGCACAAGGCAATTCGCAATTTTTTTTTATTTTTTTTTTTAATCTATAGCAATATAATGTCCTTCCTACACAAGAGAACACCGGCATGCTTCTAAAATCGAAACACTAATGGCACCGAACAATGGGCTGTAAACTGCAAATCTCGAAAATGCCCTAAGACAATTCACAAAAAATTTGCAATTAACCCTAAGATTATTCCAAAACCGACTAAGTTCTTAGATACAATTCAATTCTAAAATACCTTCCAAATACGTACTAATTTAAACATAACCAGAATTAGAACTCAACTTATTAATAGTATCTATAGACAATAAACGATTGAAGGCAACCGAGAAAGCAGCCACATATGGAAAGGCCAAGAAAATTCCAAAAAGAGGGAAGGACATGGATGATCGCGCCCACAAAAAATATATAAGTGAAAAGGATGCTAGCGAGATTTTCCAAGTGGCACAAAGTTGAGCGTAGAACACTCCCCACACCACTCAAGGCATGGGTGACCCTGTGTCACTCTCCCTAATCTCAAGGTCAACCATTTATCCAATCACGATTATGGCTGGGAATTAATTTACCCTTTGCCCCCGGGAAACGTTCCCACCACCACTAGTAAGTCTCCCACTCCCACTAATGGTGCTGCCACCCCAAAGGGCTTCGGGGCTTTACAGACCCAGCAGAGAACTTATGTATTTATCATATTAATTTCCCAAATACTGCCGTAGGTATATAAGTGGTAAATTATACGCAGGAATTCCGAAGATGACCATGGGTCGAGCGTAGAACACTCCCCGTACCACTCAAGGCTTGGGTGACCCTACAACACTATTTCCTGCGCTTGAAGAACGACCACTTTTGAGAAATAAACTTCAATATGTCCTAGTAGGCAGAATAGACTGAGAAGGTCACCAACAAGAGAAACGATCCCAGGAATTTACCACATAGATAAACCCAAACGAACTTCGAAAAATCTGCAAGATGTCAGCCAACAGAAATGATTGCAACACTCATCCAAAAAACCGAAGATATCTTAATCACCCAACATCCCGTTCATCACTAACAACAAAAACTCAACTACGTAGACAACTTCGAAACTCAA